TTAACTACATTTATTTTCAAATGAAATATCACAACACATATTTATCATTCAGTCTATAGCGTTTTAAAAGTAATTTAAGCGAAACTTGTGTAGATTTAAAAAGGCATGATTGCTTCATTTTGGCGTGTATTTGTATACTTTTACCATCTAATCAATCTCAGCATGCTTTAATTTTGTGTCGCTAGACGTTTCCATCGAGGTTAAATTAGCCTAAGTCTTTCTATGGCCTGCGCTCTGGAAGTGATCTGTTTTGTTAAATTTTAATTACTAAAACTGAAACTAAACTATATAAAAACTAAATAGATATGTGTTCACAAAATAAAAACTAAACTAAAACTAACTAAGTTATTAATGAATCTAAATTTTATTGCAAATTTGAAAACGATATTAAAATAAAACGAATTTAAAAATGCAAAACTATAATAACCTTGGGATGGACAGGCAGATAGAGGAACGGACAGACAGATGGATGGATTGATGTATGTGCCTAGAAAGACAAATAACCCATAGATGGATGGATGGGATAATATGTAAATTCAGACAACCTAGACACAAACAGATATAAAACTCATGGAAATCGCTCAATCATTCCCGGAATGACTGCTTTTAGAGAGTGAATCGACTCAGAATTTAGACCAGTACAACACAAACTGATTAGAATGATGCATATACGGTTTCATTCTGCCACTGGGTCGATGTTTCTGATTGGCTGAGATTGGTGAAAACGCTGGTCTGGCAGGAAAGCTCTTCTCTTAAAGAGGCAAGAAACAGCACTGCAGAAGTAAACTGCTTACATCCACATTCCTACACGCAAACGCATGATTGATTCACACGACAGAACATGCAAGAAGGAGACAAAGCAACACATTACGAGAGAATGAACAGAAAGAAAATGTCACAAACTTCACAGCTGAAATCATCAACAGCACTCATCCAAGCAAAAGCAACGATACATCAGACTCATAATCATACACTTTCCCTCAGTGAGGGAGGGAGAGTAAACACATTTGATTTTGTAGCCTCCACGCATGCTGGCAGATGGAGAAGGTGGATGAGCTGGGCCTGAGTGGGTGACGGCCTAAAGACTCATCACAGAACAGGAAACTGAAGCTGCCCGATGATTAGTCTCTGGTACATCACTATGCACCATGTGCGGTACAATATCATTACGGGACAACCAGATGGACAGTTCAGGCCATGTCTGTGTATGAAACCAAAATGACTCTGCCTTTCTAAGCAGTATAGAGGTGAAAAATGAAAATTCTGTCATCAATTACTCATAATTTTTTCCTTATGTGGAACACAAAAAAATATACTTTGAAGAATGTTGGTGACCAAATCATTTTGATGACCATAGACTTCCACTGTTTGGGGCAAATAATGAAAGGTTCCTCAAAGTATCTTCTTATATGTTCCACAGACGCAATAAGTCATACAGGTTTGGAACAAAATGATGGTGAGTAAATGATGACAGAATTAACATTCTTGGGTGAACTAAACCTTAAGACAGGTCTAAATGCGAATTTGGCATTACATCCTATTCCTTCGCTGCCTATCCCACAATCCTTTGTTTGCTTATGGTTAAAAGACTAAAAATGGCATCTGATGAAATGGTTGAAAGAGGTAAAATAATTTTAAAACTATCTTTAAACTATCTTAAAATCTTTTTTTTTTCAAATCTTTTCAGCATATCATTCCATTTACTCTTAAAGGGGTCATATGATGCGATTTCTATTTTTTCTTTCTCTTTGGAGTGTTACAAGCTCTTGGTGCATAAAGAAGATCTGTAAAGTTGCAAAGACTAAAGTCTTAAATCCAAAGAGATATTCTTTATAAAAGTTAAGAGTCAACCACACTCCTTCGTCGAATCCATGAAGCCGTTCCTCACTCTAACCCGCCGGCCTCCGCTCACTCAAGCGCGCCGTGTGTGACGCTGTGTGTTTTGTTGTGAAAGCGAAACTACTTTGTTTGGCCTTCCAACAGAGGACACGACTAGAAATCAGTGGTTAAGTTGAACCCAAATTTCAGATGTGTGCAGCGCATTTTATGGAGGACTGTTTCCTGATCCTGGTAGAGTAGACTACAATGCCGGCTGTTCTGACTCACAGACTGTAAGTACGTTTTCATATTTAAAAGATCTGCCACTGATGATTCAAACGTGAGTTTTGGGCAGTAGAGTAGCGCTTGTTGTTTGTCATTTCTCCGATCACAAATGCAGACATGGTTTTATGTTTACGTGGCGCAATGCAACACAACTCGTAAAAAGACAGTATAAGTCATTATAATCCGTAATTATGTCCCCACTGGATGCAACAAATGCCTCGTTTATAATGGGTTTGAATGTTTTTGTCTCGTCGCTCCGGCCGGACAGGGCATCACAGTATGGTGAGGGGGGTAACATTTCCATCTCACGCTTGAGGTATTCGGCCAATCACAACGCACTGGATAGCTGGCCAATCACAGCACACCTCGCTTTTCAGACCGATGAGCTTTGTAAAAAAATTATTTCGCTCATTTGAATTTGTTTTAGATCATTAGACATTACCACATGGTGCCCTGAAAGGCAGATAAGAACCAGATTTCTTAAAAGGTGTCTTAATACAAAAACGTCATCTGTTATTGCACAGACTGGGCAATAATACAGCAAAGCAGCTGCCTTTGGTTCTGGACGCAGCATAGACGTCTGAAACCGAATGGTATTAAATTGGCTACATATGTGACCTTGCCATGAAATTCAAAGGACTGTTGGTAGATCTGTCTGTTTAGCTTGCAGCGTATTGGCTAACATTATAAATATTAGGCTCCTCATATTGAAATGATATTGGTATACAAGTAGTAACTTGTATACCAACTTGTATGTTGAAACCACACATACAGTCTACAGTAAAAACATAAGCAAAAAGTGTAATAAATTGTGAAGGAGAGATGCAAAAAAGGTATTTTTACCTCCAGATGGTTTATGAAATGAGAAAATGTGGTAAACAAGAAAGCACAGAATTGGGAAAAAAAAGACAAAGTGTCATGATTAGTTATGATATAGATTTCTGACCCATGATTGTAGCTTCCGCTTGTACAGTGAAACTCCAAGACCAAAGCACATACATTTAGTAAAACAAAACAGGAATGGAGAGAGAAAGGGGTGAGGGTGGGGAATGAGGGGGTGGAAAGATAAGGTAATTGAGAGAAAGCATGTAAACAAACACAAAGACTGAGGATGGAGGGTGAAAATTAATTTCACATCTCTAGGCCCCACCCAGCTGTCGATAGAAATTATTCGGGGTCTCAGCTGTACATAACTGAACAGTAAGGGTTAAATGTTGTCTACTGGCTCTCAATTGATATAAACGGATAGCTCACCCCAAAAAAAATATTTATTTACCTTCAGAACAAAAATGTTATTTGCTTACCTTCAGATCAAAAGGAGCTATTTTGAAAACCATTTTTTGTCTGTTCAATGAAAGTCAATGGGGTCCAAAACAACATTGAACCCCATTGACTTTCATTGTATGGACCACAATAAATACACAGAGTCATTCTACAAAATATCTCCTTTGGTGTTCTGCAGAAAACACTGCATTAGTGCATTTTTCAGCAGTGCGTTTTTTTAATAAGTATTTTTTCCATTAAAAAAATTCTAAAATAAATTATAAGTCATATGTATGTATGTGTGTGTGTGTGTGTGTGTGTGTGTGTGTGTGTGTGTGTGTATATATATATCGAGATCGCGATTCGACAGAAGCTGCGATTGTCATGCATATCTTTCAGTGAAGCACGGTTCTGTGATCAGCAGTAAATCTCCATCCAAAGGCCAGAGGGCGCTCTCGCGCTGAAACTCTTCGCAGAAGAAACCCAGGAAATGCCTATCGCTGCAGCTGAATAAACAGAAGATTCAACTGCTTTCATTGATTCAACGTGACTAATAAACACACAACTACGGCAATATACAGTTTATCTGAGTTCATATTATTATAATTTTCATTAAAATAAAGTATATTTATAATGCAATGCCTTTATCACTGCTTAAATACTATGAAATATGTTGCATGCCTTATTCTGTGTAAGAAGCCACATCATCTCACAGAAGGATTTATTTCAAATACTCGACTGACGTTATGAAGTGAGTTTGAAGTAAAAATATGTTATTAAATGTGGTATTTTCACATGCTTTCAGATGGAGCAGCATTTACTTCACAGAGCCGTAGTTCACTGAGAAGCTATGCAAACAGCTGTCATTATCGTGAACGATTTCTTCGATTTCATAATCGCGCAATAAAATCATCTGCGATTTTTTTTCCGTAACTTGTCAGTGAACTATGACTATGTGTAGTAAATTCTGCTCCATCTGAAAGCACGTGATGATGATTTCCTGCTGATTACAGAACCGGCTTTACTAACAAAATGCACATGACAATCACATTTGATTAATCGTGCAGCCCTATAATATTGTCTATGGCAAAATATGCATACAGTATAAACAAATATTAAAGTATAAGAGGAACGTCTGCACTTCCTCAACAGACCACGAAACAGCCATTATTTTGTTGTTTAAAAACGGCGCACTTATTCGAAACTGTTGCGTTCATTCAAAAAAAGTTGCGTTCGATCCTCGCTGGCTGTGCTGATTTAATCTAGCAGGTCTAGTGTCTACTATCCCTTTAACACCTTTAAATGCTAACTGTGTCCAACAGGTTTCCTATTCAAAGAAGAAGTCCTGCCCTATATCTATGCCATTGGATGTGATAGTGTAGGAAAATTAAAAAAATGTAAAAGAATGACCACTTTGAGTACTGAACTGTCCACCGCAGCAAATAAACACTTCAGTCTCTGTGCCAAAGGTCATGAGCCCGTGGTCTGTTGTCAGAATGCAGAGGTTTTCCTCATGGCTATCAAAAACATCCACAACAGTGCAGTGTTACCATAACAGAATCCATAACCTATAATTCCTCATTTTATTATAAATAATATATGAACTTCCATCCTGTTTTGACCTGTCAGCTTACCTGATGATGACGTACATGACCAAGCAGTTTCCCACCAGCCCCACCACGCAGACGATCATGTAGACCATTGCTATAGTGATCTTGACACCCTTTGGGAAGAAGCTCTCAGTCCCGTTGAAGGTGCTGAAGTTGTTCTGGAACAGGGACTCGTTGTACAGACGAAAGTGTCTGGGGTCAGCAAAGCCGGTGGAATCATTTGGGAATTCCATGAGTACAGCTATTGCCCCCCCCCCAAAAAAAAACATAACAGAAAAATGCTGAGTGTGGCACACTCTCCATGCCGTCTATCTCACATCGTTCATGATTAACAAGTTTTCAATTTCTGAATTCTGAATTTCACATGTTTGTGGTAAAAAAGTAAGGTTACACTTTTAAGGTGTCCTTGTTATTGTGTAATGATACATTTAATACTTAGTAAATTTAATTAAAACATGAACTTACTACTGGGTTAGGATTAGTGTTTGGTTTAGAGTTAGTTGCATGTAATCATGCTTGATTTACTGTTATTACTATATAGTACGTACATGTAACAGGGACACTAAAATAAAGTGTTATCAAAAGTAATAAAAAAATAAATAAGCATACATATCAAAATCTCTAGATTGTTTCTTAATTTAGTTTTCTCATAAACCTGGCATTGTATATAACAAATATCGTTGGCTCTTTGGAATTGCTTTTGTTTCTCTTTTGTAAGTCGTCTCGGATAATTTATAAAGTCTTATAAATGTATAAAAAACAATGCAGTAAAGCAATATTGTTTTAAAAATATTATTAATATTTGAAAAAGTTTGTTCGCCATATTTGTTCGCTGGTGTAGCCAATATGCAGGCAGCCATTTTGTTGTCATGTGACATGACAACAAACCACTCTCAAGGTTTTGACCATATAAAAAAAATAATAATAAATAAAGATTGTCAATTCAGGTCAAATAGAGTAACTTTATAGTCATGAATCAAAAACACTTGGATTTTTTTTTTTTTATGTTTGGAAAAATTATGTTTACTTGAAAACCAAAAAGAACAAAAAGATAGCATCATTAAGAACTTGAAACGTGTGTTTTATGTTATACATTTAAAAAAAAAAAATGTCCCGTTTGTATCTCGGACAACATTTATCGTCATTGACCCAAATAGATGTTGCTACAGTTGATGAAGTCCATGTGATATGCGAAGCGCATAGTGAACCATCTACTGTACTGTCAACAGTTTGCGCATGAAATACATCACACTGTTTGGCTATACCGCAAACAACCCAAACATGCCGCATTCCCGGTAACGTTCACACCGGTCCAAACAAAAGTAGACACTTATTTCAATCATATCGTTTTAGGAGGGTTCGAATAGAGCTGCACATACCGCTGTTTGAAGAAATCCCGTGTGATCGCGTATGCGTCCGGGTCCTGCAAGCACGCGAGGAATTCTAGTTTCCGCTATTCTTTCTGTTTTAAGCAGTCTCAGAGCTCTGTCCAACAGCACACAGATATTCACATCACTGTGTATCTCAGGCTAAAGAGAAACATTGGTTTTCTTCTGAGCGAGCGCAGTGGGAGGGGGAGGTGCGCTAAAGCACTTGCTTGTTGTTGCGAATCTTCAGCAGCGACTTGCATCTCCTCTAGGTATCTTTCAGCCTCTCTCTCCGTCTCTCTCCGTGTCTCTCTCTCTCTCCCTCTCCCTCTCCCTCTCTCTCTCTCTCTCTCTCCCTCTCTCCTGGCTCGAGCTAACCCAAACGCTGATTACGTCTGAACAGGTGTCTTGTGGTGGAGAGTTATTGTAAGTCTATGTTTTACAATATTGTAAATGTTATGTATATTTTTTTAAATTATCGATTAAATTAAAAATAATGTTCAAAGTAAACTAGAATAAACAGGCATACATTTTTGAAAGTATAACTAAAACCATAATAAAACCTGAATTAACTGAAATAAACAAACTTCAACTGAACTAAAATGAAAAATAAATAAATAAATAATACATGGAGTAGCCTTGAGAAAAACTTGATAAACATGGCTAAGTAAATATACTATAAGGTATAAAACATTTTTATACCTTAAAACATATTTGGAAAAATATGTTTACTTGAAAACTAACAATACCATATAGATAACTATTAAAAACGTATAATGCATGTTTTTTTTTTGTATTTAATTTATTATTATTGTTATATTGTTATTATTATTATTAATAATAATAATAATAATAATATTAAAGGAAAACATTTCTCATTTTCACATAGACTTAATTTAAGTATTAAAAAAAAAAATTTAAAAATCTATATATACAGTGAATGTTTCCACTATATAAAATATTGACAAAAACATACACAAAATTACTAAAACTAAAATTATTATTCACTGAAACGTAAAAAATAGACAATAGAAAAAAATAAAAAATAAAATCGAATACAATCTAATTTTAAAATATTATCAAAAACTACAATAGTATATCAATGATACTGAAATAACCTTATAATTTATGAGGAATTGTTTTTTGAAGTTATGTACAGTTATGGGTGTTTCATGCTGCATTTATGTTGCTTAATTTATGTTTACTGCATTGATATAGTGTATTGTGTTCATTGTACCCCCTGCTGTGTACATTTCACAGTACAAACAATTTTTAAATGAGACAACCACAGGCACTATGTGGTTTTGGAACCCTTCTGGCAAGCACAGCTGCCAATTTGTACTATAAATGTAACTTAAAGTACAGTGCAGGATCACTAGATAAATGGTGACCATTTGCAGCACCTAAAATACATGTTGACTTGAATGTATCTTCAAATACATTTTAACCTAAAATATTGATGCTGGCAAATAATATAATTGAAAACAATGTGTCAAACACTTTGACATGACATACACTTGAAATATGATGCACCTCTCTGATCTCATGCTTTCGTATTAATTTGTAATTAATTTGCAATAATTGCAACTGATTTCAATTGCAAAGTGCAACCGATTTAATGGATATTAATGCTGTTTGAATTATTTGGAGGATCCGGCCGATTTTGCATGCAGATTTGTTTCCTCAGCCGTGTGAAAGAATTGAGAAGTGCACGAATGCTTTCTCAGCTGAATGTAAGTGATGCATGTTGTATATGCTGTCCTTAAATATTTCAGCACTGAGAACTTTAATTTGAGTATAAATGGGAGTGTTGGCTACAGGGGGAGCTCATGCTCAGGTATCAACACACCGGTGATAAATCACAGCGTCGCTACTTTGACAACATGTCACAATCATCAGTCACATAAGCCTTGGCTGATTCTTGTTTTTTAAGAAGCATGCGTTGGTGGCTTAAAGTACTTGGTGCATTCATGTGGTCTCATTAACATTTTGATCCATGATTTTTATGCTCTCCCAAGCAGTTTCTTGCACTCTGGGCCTAGTTGAGTTAAAGAATTATGCAAAATGCTATATATTAATAGAGAGCGGCGAAATGTTACAGTTTGACGTGCTTTATTCCTGCACTGCCGGTGGAAACCTATTTACTATAGAACTGTCAGGATGGTCACTGTCCTTGGTGCTGAAACCTACAAAAGGAAATCAGACAAGCTCTCAGTTGTTCACAGAACACCTAGCAAAAGACAAAAGATAAAACTACAGCAATAGACTGTAAAATAGGGGAGACAGGGCAAATTGTCAGTTAGTGCTTGTAACTACAAGGTTTTGATCCAAATGTTTAATCTAGCAGTCGATTTGTATGTTGGTTACAAATTTTTAGCTTGAAATTTATCTCATACTATACTATTTTGTTGTTGTTAATTCTGTAAATAGGAATGGTTCATGGAAATTTGCTAAAAGTATAATCACGCTCAGGCCATCCAATATGTTGATGAGATTGTTTCTTCATCAGAACAGAATTGGAGAAATTAATCACTACAGTCACTTGCTCACTAATAAATCCTGTGCTGTGCTGTCAGAATGAGAGTCCAAACAGCTGATAAAAACATCACAATAATCCACAAGTAGTCCACATGACTCCACTCCATCAATTAATGTCTTTTGACGTGAAAAGCTGTGCATTTGTAAGAAAACAAATCCATCATTAAGATGTTTTATCTTTAAGTCATCGCTTCTGGCCAAAATATGAGTCATTCAGTGAAAAAGTCCATGTCCTGTTGTCTTCTCACATCAACATCCACCAACATAATTGTTCAGAACTGTTTTGGACTGTTTTCGCTTGTAAACAGTGCTTGATCTGTGCATATTTTTCTCCTGATTCAGACTAGGCATCGTTTTCACTGGAGAAACAGTATTATAAATAGAAGACTTGTGTGAAGTTAAAAACAGTCTTGATGTATTTGTTTCTTACAAACACATAGCTTTTCACTTCACAAGATGTGAATTGATGAACTGGAGTGGTGTGGATTACTTGTGGATTATTGTGATGTTTTTATCAGCTGTTAGGACTCTCATTCTGACGGCACCCATTCACTGCAGAGGATCCATTGGTGAACAAGTGATGTACAGTAATGATACATTTCTGCAAATCTGTTTCGATGAGCAAGCAAACTTACCTACATTTCGAATGGCCTAAGGATGAATACATTTTCAGCAAATTTTCATTTTCACTATGCGTTTTACTTTCAATATGATCATATTTTTGCAATATCTGTTGTGTTAACAAATGTACAACACAAGTAAATCAATACTAGCATACATTCAGCTGTTAAATAAAGGTATATTTTGACAAAAATGTTGAACTATGTTCTCAGGGCAAAAGTTTGGTTTGTGCATGCGACAACTAGCCCCAGTCTTTTATTTTGGCTTGTATAAATCATTCAAACTGTATTCCTATTGCATTGCTACACACATTATTTGAATCTCAGCTGATTAAACCTGTTAGATGTGAAATATCCTGCTGTGCTTTTACAAGCCAGGAAATTAGCAGCATGTTCTGCTTGGATTGATGTAATCACTTGCATCGTCTTATATGTAACAAATCTGTTTGTATTATAAATGTCAATCTGAATAAAAATGCGAAAATGTTGCACCATGCAAACGTTAATAAAATCCATCCTTCATGGTGTTGTAAAACCTGGCAGCATTGCACCAGGGCTGATGTAATCTCTGATGTCATGTACAATTTTATATTTATATTCCTTTCTCTTGTGTACACCGAGGCAACACATTTGAATCACTTCCACTAAATATGATAATGGTTCATTTAATAGGTTTCAGAAAAGCTACATGTACTTTTAAACACAGCTTTTACAGCATCCCAATCAATAAATTAATGTATCCACCCATTCTTTATTATACAGCAGCCATACAGCTTCACTTATACTGTACAGTATATGTTGTTCTCCACAGGGAACAATGTTTCTTATGTCCCATATGATTATTATATATTATATACTTTATTTTTGCATATGTAGACTACTGTTCAAAAGTTTGTGGCTGAATTTATTTGATCAAAAACACAGTATTGTGAAATATTATTACAATCTAAAATAAATGTTTTCTATTTGAATATATTTCAAAATGTAATTTATTCCTTTGATGTCAAAGCTGAATTTTCAGCATCATTACTCCAGTCTTCAGTGTCACATGATCCTTCAGAAATCCTTCTAATATACTGATTTGCTGCTCAAAAAGAACAGCATTTATTTAAAACAGAACTCTTTTTTAACATTACAAATGTCTTTACTGACAACTTAATGCATCCTTCCTGATTAAACATTAGAAAACAAGATAGCATAAGAAATAATCATGTCAACATGCTGTAATTGTAAAATTTTGTTCACTTATTGCTTGAAGAGTAGGTGTAACTTCTGACGTTGGGTTTTGGGGGGAATCTGAAATGTCAGACAGAGGAGAAAGAAGTACAGGCTGTGCGAGGTGAACAGAAGGTGATGGAGCACTGAGAAGCAGAAATGAGAGGTAGACAGGGGAAACCTGCAGGGGGAAGATGACTGATAACAGTAATGGCTGCGAGTGACATGGTGAGAACAGAAAATGACCAATAATGGATGCTAAGAAACAGCGGAAGTTAAGTGCTATAACATAGTGCTAAAACAAGGTGCGAAGACACTAAAAGATGGAAGAAGGGGAACAATGAGGGACTGCTGAGAGAGTGATGGAGCACGGGTGTGATGCTTCATTCAAGCGAATCAAAGCTTTTCAAATGGTGGAATGAAGAGCATTTCTAAAAGATGTGTCACAGCATTCTTATTATCATTATAAAAATATGAGTGTGCTTTGAGAATTTGGTTCCTTTTTTTTCCAGCAAGACTTAAAACAAGCTTATAGTCAACATGAAGCATAATGTAATGAAATTACTAGTGACAAAGAGGGGGGAAAAAATTTAATATGGACCCAAATTTGCTAAAGATTATATTTAACAGTGTTTTATAAAAAAATATATATATATATATAAATAAACAAGTGTTTAAAGTGTTAGATGATGGCAAAGGTAATTTACCTGTAAATGTAAAAGTAGGAGAAATTAACATGAATAATTAAATATTCAATATCAGCAGATATACACTACTGGTCAAAAGTTTGAAATATTTACACTTTTTATGTAAAAAAATATATTTATTCAGAATTACAGTAAAAACAGGAATACTGTGAAATATTATTGCAATTTGAAATAATTGTTTTAAATTCTAATATATT